AAAGACAATCTACTCCGAAAGCATGTTTTTTGTTTGCATGTTTACCACAAGTATATGTTGTTAATTCAGACATGATTCCTTCAGTTCGGTTTCAGTTCGGTGTTTTAACATCTTAACATGATAGTGTAGTATGGTTAAACAACCCCTATAACTAACATGGTATGGGAAGGCCTTCATATAGCAGTGGCTTGTAATGGACTATACATTATAAATTTGACAATGACATTGCTATTAAAATGATGACGTTTATGGTATATGTAATATTGGAGTGTTTTTTTTTACAAACCTGAACTTCATAATGAAAAAGCAATGTGCCGAAGAAAGAACGTTTTTTATTGAATGAATGTTACTTGCTACGACGTGGATCGAGAACTTGCACGTCGACAAATAAAAGGGGAACACAGTCTGAAAGGTGCACAACGAAGCACGGAGAGATACATCCTAGACAGAGAAAGAGGAACACATGGATGACAGAACTTACCCGAGTTATCGATCATAATAGCCGTGAAGAGTTCAAGTTCATTTATTGGGTATAGCCCTGTGAGCCATTCGGCTCTTGAATCGGGTGCAACCGCAACAAACAAAAAACAAAAACATGAACAAAAAACATCTTAAAGTGAATATGTGACTAAGTGCAAACAGAAAACCCAAGAAAAGACAGCAAAATATTGCAGAAAAAAGAGAAGTAAGAGGTGATGACTGTGGTCCATACTAACGATGGAGGGACATCCAGAGGCGTGAAAATGCCAACGAGGACATTTATAGCATTAAAACGTGGCAAAGAGATCAACTTGTATGCGGGAACTAGCTTGGAGGAGGCTTCATCCAGCAGTGCATTGGTCATGGTAGATGTTGGTCGTGTCGAACCTGTTTGTATTATATAAAAGACTGACGAAATCTTATTTATGACATTTTAGTTTTGATGGGTAGAATGGTAAACGTCACACGGAAGGAATGTTTGTCAGAGCTGTATGCAATGGGATTTTTACAAAGCCGTTATAATTATTGTGACTCTACTGTAAGTAAAAGCAGTGAAAGTATTAAGGCCATATTGGATGTAAAACGGCTTGCTAATACAAAACAGGCACCATGCAATTAGTTTTTGGAACTTGCCACAAATGATTGTGCCAACATTTTCACCTAAACCCATACATATTTGTGCATTTTTTATGTATTCATCCATATTTTGTCTTGAAAGAGCTGCAATCCATTTTTTAAACGAAATATACTAATGCACTCCAGTTCAGCTGCTGAAACTGAATCTTCAAATTCTTTTTAGAACACTGTCCTACTTCACTCGTACAAATTGCACCATAATTTACTATTTACAATGGCCGCATTCCACTTTTGATGCCAGAACCATAGTTTGGAAAACAATCTAGAAGCTGAGACCCATGACAATTTAATCTATGAGGCCAAGTACCAGCAGCAATAGAAATCTGTCGAATTAAATGCTATGTATTATTAGTAGTAGAGAATACACAAAGAGTTGTGTTATAGTTAAACAAATCAGGCATGCATAGTCTTTCCAGAAACGAAGTCATAAAAGACAGACAGTTTTTACAGTAATTCAAATTAAATGTACAATCATTTTTTTTAAGGGTGCTCTATGACCTGGCAACGAAGCTGTCCTTCCAAGGCTTTCCTTGTTGAGCTTATCTGGATTAGACACCAGGCAGCAGAGCAAAAGCTGCGTCTGTTTCAGCAGTCGCTGACATCCGTTCTCAACTGCATTAATGATGGTTTTACAGCTCTGTGGAGGAACACGAAAACATGTATTTGTATAGTAGTTTACCTCTGATGTGTCTTTCAGTTTGTACCGAGCATTGTTCGGTGTCATATGCAACGTCTTCACCATGTCCTGGGAGCTTCTTCAGTTCCAACGGGATTGACATTTTACAATCCAGTTCCTGAAGAAGCTCCCAGAATATGGGAATAAACTCTCAGCACGTGCAGCAAATATGTCGAGCATCATGCCGAGCAATGCGTGTTTTCTCCAGTGTAAAACACAGTTCCAGCACTTTGTACAGTTTTATTTTATGAAGTAGTATTGCATTTCTTCATGAAATTTTGAAAAAATATGTTGCACTGGTATGGCATAGCACGAGGTGGGGGTGGGGGGGAGCAGTTGTGCAGTAGTTAGTGCCCCATACTGTAAACATGGCCACTGGTTAAATCAGTGGTGAGTGATAACGGAACCAGTCCTGGGCAGCCTCTCCTTCACCAACCCACACTAACCAGCATAATGCGCAGTCAAAATATCCCCGATGAATGACAGGAATGTACATTATTTTTAAATGCCATGAGACCGCACAATATGTGCGGTCTCATGGCATTCATTGTTTGCATTGCCAACTTGACTGTTGAGCACATGTTCTGGGTCAAAGGTCATACAGGTTTTGAGCACCTGATCCGTCGGTGGCATGGTTTACGTGTAGAAAAGGACGCAAACAGAATGGGGGGCCCTTTAAATTTTAAATCAATTAGACACATATATACGTGGTACTGTTTTCGTGGAAAAATTACTGCATTACTGCAAAGGTCACAAAAGCAGCACCTTTCCAGGGGAAGCTATAGCGGATGTAGGAAATCTGCAGGGTGTATTACCGGTGTCTATGTTTATGGAACATGTGCCATGGAATGCAATTAACCTATTTACAATTAAGCCTTTCTTTTGCCACTTTTTACACATTGGCTGCACGTGATTTAAACGCACAAGAAAAAAAAAACGAATCGTAATAATTCTACTTTAATCAGAAAGAAAGGAACGGGCATTAGTGCAGCTGTCAATTTAATTGATCGCAGAGGTGATTGTAGTAGTTAAATAGTTATAGCACTCCGGTTATTAATTTAATTACTTATTTTGCCCCGATTTCTTCTGAACATCTGGAACAGTTTGGGCGTCTTGTGCGCGGCGTGGGGAGGGAGGGATTGGAGGAGTGGGGAGGTTTTAGTTGAAAGTTGAGGCTGAGTGGTAAAGGGAGGTAGGGAGTATACAGTTGAGGTTTGCATGTGGTTGGAGTGGATGGGGTAGAGATGATTTTTTTTTATTGAGGTGAGTCAGGTTAGATTTAATATATATATAAAACATTTTTGTAATGGCAGAATGCTTACAAACAAGTTCATGACGTCTCAATGACAATTTGTTCACATTAATAAGCAAAGTGCTTTCAAATACTGTATAGCACATATTTCAAATATATGGAAAAGAATGTCATTAATATTTGTACAATGTATAGAATTCCTTTGCCTTGTAAATGTCAATAGCATGGGTGGAACAATCCATTAACTTATCAATATCAATTATCACGCTCACGCCAATGCATCAAATCGCATTTGTAAGAGTCAGTATTTTAGACGTCTGTTCTAATGGGTTCATGTCACCTCTGCAACCACTAGAGGTGCTACCATTCAATAGCTCTCTGGTGTGTTCTGCCACCGTGACATCTCGCACTCGTTATCTCTCTAACGTAGAGGACCTCATGCGACCCTGCCGTCTTGGCCTATCCGAGCACGTAGCTCATCTTCGAGCAGACGTTCCGGCTTAGCTCGGTCCCTTTGGGTCGAGTGTTGAATCAGATCCGGAGCAAAAGCCCGACGGGTCGTGCGCTCGCCCAAGAGGACGCCCACGGTCCAACCTGATGCTCACGGATGGTCGCGCTCGATGCGGATCGTGCCTATCCAGGAGGCCCGGCTAGGGGCGATGGATAGCGCCACCTGGAGGAAGATTAGAAACAATCCGGTGATGGCTTAGCGACTACTACTACGGATGTGTTTTTGGGTTGTGCTGCATGTTGTTCGACATGATGTCTGAGGTTTCGCTCCATATTCTGGGAGCTTCTTCAAGAACTGAACATTTAGTTCCTCCAGGAACGAGAGTAAACTGGAGCAAAACTAACAAATATTCAAAAAAGAAGTTCCTGATGGAACTGAATATTCAGTTCCTGAAGAAGTGCTCAGCATGTGCAGAGAAAAAATAATCAGAGGTCCCAAACAGCACAACCTGTGAACATGGATGCAGTAGTGCTACCATAAAATGGTATGATAATGCTGCAAGTGACTTAGTACATGTTGTGGAATTCTGTAAGGTGTACATTGTGTAATGGGTTTATGTGTAGGATTAGTGAAGATGGGCAGGCCACGTATAGGCAATTGAGTGTAATACATATCCAGTTTCCAGCCCTTTTTCAATCCAATGCTAGCTGAATGTCTCTCCATGTTATTTCAGATATTGGTTCTGTTCTACCACACTTCCTAACACTGTGCTGCATGTCGGTTAACAAAGGAGGCTGGAGGGGAGCGTAGAATTGGTTCAGACATCAACTGCCACTGATTCTAGCTATGACCGGGCATCAAACTCAGGTTTCTAGGTTCACAGCGCAGTCGGCAAACCCGATCTCGTCACGGAGCATAAACCAACACGCGAACTCCGGTCATCCTCACAGCAGCGTTTGGATCGGACATCGAACAAAGACGCTCAATGCGTAGCGCGCTTTCAGATGCGTTTCTGCGGCCGTCTGGAACGCTCTTCCTTCCGATATTAGGAAGCCACTGGAGCTATACACTTTTAAATAATCTAAATTGACAAACTAATTTCTTCACAACTGCTTGTCGTGTTTTTAGTTTGTCCTCCTTCCCCCGCACCTCCAATCAGCACGGTTGGCTACGTACGGGGCGAAAGAAGTCCAGCGTACGTAACGTAACCATTGCACCACCAGTCCTTTCAGAAGGGGGTGGGTAGGTGATGGACACAAGGGGGTGAAGTACAAAATGAGTTGTTTTGGCGAGAGAGAGAGAGAGTCGGTCTAGGACGACTCGTGAGAGGGGCTGGAAGGGGCGCTGGGTGGGTGGAGGCTAACGGCGGATTTTGGCTCGGGGCATTGTGTTTTTTGGGGGAGGAGCACGTTGAGCGCCGTAATTTGTTCCCAGGAGACGAGGCTCTGCCAAATCGTGGGGTATAAATTGCACGAAAGCTGCGCGAGACGGAGCGCTCCACACCTCGCTCAGCCAAAATCACCCATCGCCTCCCCATCCCTCCAAACAGGTAAAACCGATGGCTGCACATGCGGGCACTTTCAAGTCGGTTGAGTGTTTTCTACGTTTGATACGTATATATATAATGAAACACAACATATTGCAATGTGTTATAGTTTAAGTATTAACGGAAAATGTGTGTTAATCTAATCGTGTATGGCTTGCGAAAGCGAATTATCAGTGCACTGAGCTCACTAATTGCAGGACATGGGGGATACTTTGGAAAATGCCATTTTTGCTTCATGCTATTTCCTTTCGTGTCTGTAGACTTGACAGTGCGAGCCACATTTCAGATTCATTTTTTTGGTTTTTGCCCGTTGGATGTTTCCATCCCGTCCGGAGACTTTAAAGCCGTGCATGCACGTGGATGTGGTTGGTGACGAGCCCAAGCGCCAGTGGAATGTGCTGCATTGAAATGTTTCTATTCGCACGGTTCACGACTGGTAAACCATCGCACTGTAGTGAAAAGCAATTCACGACGAGGGAGTAAGAACAAGGCTCGTGTGTAAACGAGTGGATGCAATGAATTCTTTAGGTGCACTACTCAGTGGGTCAGGTTTACATGTTGTTACATTTTATGGGGGACACTCAAGCTAATTACGGTAAAGAAATTCATGTATGCTGTGTATTGAGAACAATATGAACATCCCAAAACAGGCGATTATGCATCGGTAACTTTTGAAGATATGCATGGGGTCTGGCACAGAATCGCAATACATGAAGAACGAAAGAATACATCAATTCCAAACAGCCGATCCCATGCAATTACAAGACTTCTGGCTTGTAAGAAGAAGACGTATGGGTTTATCTAACGGCACGAGTGATGTACGAAACGTCGTGATTTTTTTTTCCCCTACGTGACTTTACCAAAATAACCAAATAGTATAGAATGTACAATGTATTTGTCACTTACACTATGATCGCTCAATAATACCGACATCGACACAATACACAAATTATTCACGCAACAAAAGCATCACAGCTCTCTCAGTCCCGGTGTCGAACACACCGTGACATGCGTACAACGAGAACACAGACCCACACGCCGTGTCGCAATCGAGACATTTCACGAAAAACAAGGGATGCCATTGATTGTATCACTGCAGCCCCAAGCAGAGCCCCGCCACGCCGGTCAGCATGAGATCGCTGCCTCCTGTGGGCGCCGTTTGCGCAGCGCTGGCCTCCTGCTTCTGCTGCCTCTGCTGCGTCTGTGGTGCTCCCACCGGCTCTCCGTACAAGTGCTCTGCTGGAGGGCACCCCAAGTACCAGCTGGTGTTCACAGGCCGTTGGAGCCAGACCTCCTTCCCCAAGCAGTACCCGCTCTTCCGCCCACCTGCTCAGTGGTCATCTCTTGTGGGTGGGTGAATGCGGGTTCGTCGTAAATCAACATCATCGCCACCCGTGCACATGCAGCTGAGATCATTGGCTAAAAGAGAGCGGTCATCTTTTGAGGGTAGGAAAATGAAAGTTTATTTTAACGCAGCATGAGTTAGAATGAACTGATAGTCAACAGTATCATCATGATGCTGGTGATTATCATGATAGTGATCATCATCATCCATGCATAACAGCTGAACTCGCTTAGAGAAAATCAAATCTTAACTTCTTCATGGATTACTGCCTGTCGTGTTTAACCACGCATTCTTCTTGCTTTTGAATAGGAAGGATTGTCTCCACCAGATTCTCCCCATTCATATGTAAATTCACATAATGTGCACTACACGTGTCTGTGGGTTGATTAGTATGCATGGTAAACTTGAAGAGAGGGGAATGAAATGTGAGAATTGGGAGTTGGAAAAAGTTCGAAGTAAGGCTGGGACAGAACCCGAGATAAAGGCAAGAGAATGGTGAGAATGAAAGTATTGTGCCTGCATGGTTAAAATAGCAGTTGGGGGGGAGGGGGGAGATTACCCACGTTTTTCAATGCACTCTTGCTTACATGTGATTTGTATTTGGGATTTTCTATGCGAAATTTACCTTTTAGTAGCATCTTAAGTGTGTTATTATATCTGCAGATATCACGTATACACATGTTTATTTCTAGAGGTGTACATATAGGCTTCCATGGCCACTAAATTCTCAAATTAAATCCACTGCAGGATAAAGGCCCCCATGTCAGTCATGGGGGTTGTTTGACCATACTTCACCTCACCGGTCAATGCAGGTTGGTGAAAATGTGATGACAACATTTGATATGTAGCCTATGAAGAGTAGCTAGCTAATAATCGAAAAAAGAAGTGCATCCCTGGCCTAACTCCTCTCGATGAAGATGTAATGATGATGCATTGGTGTACGGTGGTCAAAATATTAAGCCTGATATGAAGTCAACGGGGGTCATTCTGTGGATAAACAGGTCTCCATCATAGGAATTCAGAATCGTTACCAGTGGCTCACCAATCACCACCCACAGGAACATGGGGACGCTTAGATTGTGACTCAATTTTGACACGCAAGACACGTTGCAAAAGGTGCTGTCGACTTGCTTACACCGCTGCCGGCGGGAAGGACCTCTCAACTAATTGGGGGCCCTAAAAGGAGGTCTTAGAATTCGTTCGTCAAAAAAGAAATACTGCAGTGTATAATGTTTTCTCTCTCTTTCCGTGCACCGGTTTCTCTTTCCCCTTTAGCGGTGGTGCACGGGCGCCCCTTTCAGATGTGGCGCGCGAGCCGCTTCGCCAGCCCCGGGGTGCGCGAGATGTCGGAGCGCGGCGAGGCGTGGGGCATCATGCGAGAGGTGGACGCGCACGCGCAGGCCCGCACCGCCGCGGCCCGCCCGCCCGCCGTGGCCGGCGTCTTCTCGGCGCCAGCGCTTCCCAACGGAACCGGCCAGAGCTTAACCGAGCTGGAGTTCACCGCAAAGCAGCCCTTGGTGCGTGCGTTATTCTACTGCGTTGTCAGCTACCAAGGGGTATAATCTACAGTCATCCTCGCGGTGGCTTTTGGCTGGCCATCGAACAAAGACGGTTACCGGCATCGCACACTTTGTAGATGCGCTTCTGCGGCCGTCTGGAATGCTCTACCTTCCGATATTAAGAAGTCACTAGAGCTATGCACTTTGAAATCTAGATTGAAAACGAATTTCTTTAGAACTGGTTTTGTTTTTTGTTTGTTGTCCTTCCCCCACACCAACGATTAGCACGGTTGGCTACGTACGGTGTGAAATAAGTTCAACATACATATCAATAATGCCTGTGATCAGCAATGCCTGTGGCTCCAATTGGCCTTTGTTGGCCCCAGTAAGGGCCAAATTATATTCCGAGGCAGTTATTTTGAGAAATGTCTCATTAACATCATTGTCATCAGCCGTGATGAATCCACTGTTGGATAAAGGCCTCGCCAAGCCATTGTCATCTCTCGTGATCCTGCAAATGTTTTTGTCTCCGGTAGATAAAATGGCAGCAAGTTATTTATATTCAATTTATGTCTCTGAGAGAGGGATACAAGTGACACCAGAGATATAATGCTTAGCCATAACTTCGCAATGGGTAACATGTTTTATGATCCTGTTGGATGCAGTTCGTAGCAGGATTGTATACTACTATATAGATTTTCTCTAGATTGCACTTTCATTATAGTATTTACATATTTTCAAAGCAAGCTTAAAACCAGTTTATTAATATGACAGTCGTGTTTCATTAAAAAAAATACATACCAGCCTGGATTTTTACTACAAAACATACATGAATATTAGTTTACCATATGATTTCATATTTTATTAATATAAAACATTTAGTTCAGAAGACATTACTTTGATGTTTGTTTTAAAAGACACACACCTTTACCGATATTATTTTCTATCAGTGATACCAGTTCCATAATATAGATACAATTACTAGTTATTGATCTATCTCATGGTTATTTTTTAGCAGTATTTACGTTTTGCGTCTTTTCTATTACTTTCTACTTATATTGACCGACGGGGCACCAGGTGGTTTATTGTTTTTTTCGCTGCTGAGCGAAGGCCCAAAATCCAAAAACGTCAAGCCGTCATCAACAAACAGCCCCACTTCATTCACGTGCTATAGTAATCGAGCAAGGTTGTGAGAACTTGGGAAAATTGACTATGGGAGGGAATTCCAAGTCAAACATATGTATGTTGAACCTCTTTCGCACCGTACGTAGCCAACCGCGCTAATCGGAGGTGCGGGTTGTCGCTTTTTAAATCCTTTATATTAAGTTCACTTGCTTGCTTGCGCGCTTACGACCGTGCAAATCTTTCGGTCGTTTTTTAACCCACTTCCCGTGATCCAATCGAGCTGACATTTTGCACACAGACTCGTTGTGCGTGACAATTTATTTTCGTGAAAATTTCTTTCCAAAATTTTACATTTTTAAGGAAAAAAATAATAATATTTAATTACCAATTGCTTAATGGTGGCAGGCAATCATCTGACCCATAGGTGGCAGCCATCTCAAGCCAGAGGACGAGAGGACTCTAGCCGCCACGCATATAAAGGATTTATAGTGAAAAACTTTGTTTTTACTGGGTAAATTTTTTCTCCTTCAGTTGTCGCTGATGGTGCGTCTCGTGCCGAGTCCGGATTGGTTCGTGGGCGTCGACAGCCTGAACCTGTGCGAGGGCGAGCACTGGAAGGAGAGACTCTCCCTCGATCCTTCAGCCGTACGACGCCGGCACGGATAACGGATTCACCTTCTCCTCGCCCAACTACGCCACCATTCCACAGGAGCCCATAACGCAGGCACGCCGGGATCCCACGCACAGTGCGCTCTTGATGCTTTTCTTTTTCTCCATCTACCGTGTAGCAGATGTGATTCTCATCATCATTAGCGTTACCCGCTGCCATAGACGTCTGTATCCTAATCACCACATTGATCAGCACATGATTGCTCTCATAGCCATCGTTGCCAACTTCATCATGAGCAGAACGGAAAGTACGAGGGCTGCAATGATTCATACACAAAATATACACATACTAATAAAAACAAGATGCATTCGTATGTATGCGGTGTGACGCATGCATCATTAGATTAAGAATGGATAGCAATGAATCAACGCATTGTGCTGCCCCGAGAAAGCATTTATTGGCAACATTGCCATTCTTACATTTTCTACCATCAATACGAACGCAGCGCAGAGTGTGGTGTAATGGTGCAACGTAGCAATTATACGATAGAAACCAAGAGGGCTGAGCTGTCGACTAACCGAACACCGTCATGCTGTTCTCCATTCTGCAGATAACAGTCTTCTTCCCCGAGCCATCCAGCAAACTCCTTCTACTACCCCAAGCTGAAACAACTTCCCCCGTTGGCACGACTTGTCCTCACCCGCATTGGCAAGAGGCCACACTCCTCCAAGAAGGCGCCACCCAAGGGCAATGACATAGAGCAGCTGACAGGTGGGCACGGGCACAGGGGAGGTTACAACTCACGCACATACACAGACTCCACCACGCGCCTGGCCTTGGGAACTGGACCGTGTCCTCCACATGTATAAGTGGGCAATAATTATACGGTTGCAGACAAACTCGCCGAGTCCCTGTAATGAGAGCGTGCTGCGTTCTCGAGCGCAATTCTTTTCGCAATCTAACATCTGTAACGTGCATTAAATAATTCGTGGTAGTTCACTGTAATTAACTTAGTCTACTGTATAGTTAAAGTGAGGATGTATGATATTGGGTAATGTTTTCATCTTAGACGATGATCGTGACGTGTTATGTGTGAATAAAAAAATCATTTTATTTTATTTTTTAGAATCCTGATAATCCTGAAATCTAAACCATCATGATAATATATACCCACAGTGTATGTTACTTTATACTGCTAGACTGAGGTCAAAGTATACAGTACTGTAGTGAAAAAAACATTGTAATCCTTACACTATTCATCAAGCATGTGGAGAATTCTGAGTGGCTATTTAATATATTACGCTAATAAAAGCTATTCGTTTTTTATTGCGCTCGTAATGAAACGTTTCTGAGCACAGATCCCCCTATGGGAAGCTGTCCCTGTGCGGCACAAGGTGACTCAACAGCTGACTCGGTGATGGGAATTAGTCAGCCAGTAGGGGTGGGCCATGATTCCGAGATGAGTAATTTGTGGGTTATGTTTAAAATGATTACAAATCTGAAATGAGATTGATATTGTAAAGATTGACAATGTGTGTTTTTGATATGGGGTCGGGGGGGGGACTGGGAGAACGTGGAGGAAACTCATGCAGAACAGGGGGAGAACATTTGGACTCTACAGAGAAAGGTGCCCGAGTTTGGGAATCGAATCCAGGCTTTTCCTGACACCCTGACGGGGGTCTTTGAACGCTAATTTGGTAACTCGGCACGATGAAGTAAAACAAAATCGTGCTTCTCAACCAGCATCTGGGGTTTACATCAAACCCAGGGCTTAATTTCACCCGGGTTTGTTGGCTCAGTGATCCGGAATAAAAAAAAAAGTCCTCTCCCAGGCCCACCTTGGCTGTGGCTACGAGTCACGCGCCTACCCCATGCTACCGGGGAGTCCGGAAAGTATTCAGGTGAAGAAGTCAAATCCCCATTCACATCCGTGACCGTGCCTTGCAGAGACACCTTTGGACTGTGAGGTGGCCAAATGGTCACCCTGGGGCCTCTGCTCCGTGGATACGTGCGGGCAGCCCGGAGTGAAACGGCGGACGCGTTACATCCGAGTGAAGCCAGCCAACCAAGGCGCGCCGTGTCCCGAGCTGGAGGAAGAGATGGAGTGCTCCGCTCCCAATTGCTCTGTCTAGCGAGACACGGAGTGGAGGTGTGGGGGAGAGAGTCTGAGTGAGAGAGAGAGAGAGCGAAAGAATGCGAGCTGAGTGACGTAAAGTGTGGATGGGAGTTTGAAAGAGCGAAAGTACGTTTCGATTTAAAGCTTTCGTGACTGCAGGGATTCATCTTCTTGGTTCTTTCGGTAAAGTCACGTAGAAGGGAAGTAATAAAATAATAAAAATAAAACTAAACTTTGCAGTCACACCTAGACACATACCAGTTAATGATATAATTGCTCGAGTAGATGTAGCTCTCAAGGGCTTGAGTCACATCGCTGCAGACGTAGCAAGATCTGAAATCTCTGTAACCCTCAAAAACGCTAAGATGCCAGCTAGCAACATTAGCAAAGATGAGCGTTTTGAATTAGCTCAATTAAAAAAGAGGGATGACATTGTCATCCTCTCAGCCGACAAAGGCAATGCCACTGTCATCATGGACAAAATAGAATACAACAACAAAATTCAAGAACTACTCAACAATGGCAGCTATACAAAAATAAAAAGAGACCCCACCAACAGCCTCGTCTCCAAAACCAACAACATCATTTCTGCTTCAACCGCATTAATTGATCAGACCAAACAGTTCTCGTTGAAACCTTCTGCAGCCAGGCCACCAAGATTGTACGGCTTGCCAAAGATACATAAAGAAGATACACCTCTTCGTCCCATTGTCTCTACTATCAACTCCCCCACTTACAAACTGGCTCGTTTTTTGTCCGAAATCCTACGGCCTTTCACTGGAAAAACCACCTCTGCAGTACTAAACTCTACTGACCTGGTATCGACAATCAAGGGGATTGCCCTGTCCCCAGACGACCTGCTTGTCAGTTTTGATGTGGTTTCCTTGTTCACCAAGGTGCCTGTGCCTGACACCATCGCAATCATTGAAGACTTGGTTCATCAAGGACTGAATGCTGGGGTACCCCCCCTGGTGAGACACTGCTTAACCAATACATACTTCACCTGGAATGGAACCTTCTACAAGCAAATTGAGGGCACACCAATGGGCTCCCCCCTATCTCCGGTTGTAGCCAACATCTTCATGGAGAAATTTGAGACGGACGCCATCCAGACTGCCACTCTACGCCCGACCTTATGGAAGAGGTACGTAGACGACACTTTTGTCATCTGGCCACATGGCCGGCCTGCTCTAGACCAATTTCTCGACCACATCAATTCCATACACCCAGCCATCAGATTCACCATGGAAGTCGAAAATGATGGCAAGCTACCCTTTTTGGATGTCCTAATCAAAAGGAGACCTGATGGTTCTATGAGCCACTCTGTCTACAGGAAAGCCACCCACACGGATGCTTATCTAAAACCGGATTCCCACCACCATCCATCCCAGAAGAATTCCCTCATCAAGACTCTATATCATAGAGCCCAATGCATCTCCGACCATGAACACATTTCCAGTGAACTCAAACACGTACGCCAAGCTCTTAAGGCTAATGGTTACTCCGACTACACAATCCGCAAAGCCATCACTCCAACCATCAAGAAGGATCCTGTTGAGGAGCCTTTCAAGACCATCACCTTACCCTACATTGCTGGGGTCACAAAAAAGATCTCCAAAATCCTGATTAAACACAAGATCCAGGTCCGATTCAACACAGTACATAAAATCCGTGATCTGGTCCCGTCTGTAAAAGATGTGGTTCCAGACATACAGTACCCTGGCGTCTACAAACTAAGTTACCTCTGTGGTAGCAGTTACATTGGAGAAACCAAACGACATGTCTCGGACCGCATCCGTGAACATAAGGCAGACCTGAAACACGGTAGGACAAACACCTCAGCTGTGGCAGATCACTGTTACAATTCAGTGGGCTCACATGACATTGACTTCTCCAAGACAGAGGTTCTCTGCAAGCCATCTGGCTATCATGAGAGATTCGTTCATGAGGCGATCCACATATACAAACACAGAGACAATTTCAACCGAGAAGATGGATTCTGGCTTAGCAATCATTGGAAGGACGTAATAAACCATTTCGGATCTTAACTGATTGTGTTCACGTTAACGGTGACTTTCAGACCGCGTTCCACTCACTGGCATGGTGCAGTGTGCAGAGTAATGTATGGTGTCGTAATTGTACAGTAAACATATAGCAGTATGATACACATTAGGGTGGGTAGAATAATACATAGTGTTATATTAAAATGGATAAGGCAGCAACTGCAGCAGCAGCAGCAAGTGCAGCAGCAGCAGCAAGTGCAGCAGCAGCAGCAAGTGCAGCAGCAGCAGCAAGTGCAGCAGCAGCAGCAAGTGCAGCAGCAGCAGCAAGTGCAGCAGCAGCAGCAACTGCAGCAGCAGCAGAAACTGCAGCAGCAGCAGCAACTGCTGCAGCAGCAGTAACTGCAGCTCCCTTTGATGCTGTTAATCCTGCATAATGCACATGCATATGCAGTACTAATTACATTCCTGCATTTCCCATAAATATGCTAAATTCCTGTTGATATGCAAATTCCTTTGTCAATGCGCCCAGCTTATATATATGCTCTAAGCCCGTGTGCTGTTTCATTCAGACTCTGTCGCCTCGACGGACCTGGTTTTCACCTGAGGACGGCTGCTTGCGTTGTGGCCGAAACGTCGTGAGAATTGTTTTATTATGTTTTATTTTTATTATTTTATTACTTCCCTTCTACGTGACTTTACCGAAAGAACCAAGAAAGCGAAAGTACGATTGAGATCATGGAGTTTGAATGACCATGAACAAAATAAGAAAACTAAGACTGAAAATTTTGTTTTGATTTTAGCGAAATAAAATAATGACATTTAGAGAGCACTGAATAAAAGAATATTACAGGGTGTAAAAAGGTTTACAGCCAGTGGCAAGGATTAAGATGACATTGGGATTTATCCACTGAGGAACCCAGTGACCTGGTGTTTGATTCCCAACTGCAGGTTTGTTGTAAAGATTCACAATGTATCAGTGAGTTGTCATCTAAACCGGTCCTGGGCCTCCCTTCTTCACCAAACAGTACAAACTAGCTTCATGATAAAGTGTACGATCAAACAACACCCATAACATATGTTTTTTTACAGCAATGGACGGCTGACAATGGACTAAATTACTGTATATATTTAAAAAGAATCATCCATGGCATGTATGATACCAGTTGAAGTATATGAACACTGTAAAAATACAATTTTCACATGAACTCAATTAGAACAATCACGTGGCTCGTAAAACATGAAGTATATAACGGTATGTCTTTAAAAGGGTCGAATGCCTGGTCACTGTAGACCAAAATAAGCTGTAAACCGCGCTCAGTATATTGAGTTGTGTAGATAGGAGTAATATGTCCATAATTTCCCCCCTCAAAAAGCGCACATGCCCAAGGTAAAATCGCCACACGTAATAGTCCACAACCATTATGTGCTCCAAAGGTAACGGGGGAAAAGGAGTTGATCGATGGTGCACATTGCCTCGTAAATGTGGCACTTTTTAAATTAAACACGGCGAGGCGACAAAACTGTGTGTGTCTCGTGTGTTATTTTGATATGAATACAGCACAGTATTGCTTCGCAAGATCGTGAGAGATGGTGGCAGAGTGGAGAGGATTGACCGTACCTGATCATGATGATCACAGTAACTGTAGTTGGCATAGGGGGTTGTAAACCACCGTAACGTTTGTGTTCTTGCCACCGCAGTGTGCATAATTTCCATCTCCTTCTTGAATATTCCCATTGTCACATTCGATGAGCATGTTACATTTTACAGACGACGTTGAATACCTTTTTAAAAAACAATGAAAATATACAGATGTGGTGAATGGCACTTAGCTGAGGCTATGATGAGTATTATTACTCAAAAACTGATAAACATTACATGTGTTGTGCTGCCTTTAGTTAATTCACTGAAGTAGCAAGCCATGATAATTAGTAATTACACGGGTGAAGCTTGCCATCCGAACAATATAACAACCGCTGTTAAGTATGGTAATGACGCTGAGGTTACTGAAAGAATTCAGATAGATGGCAATACTGTTCTAAATTACGCATAAAACGTATAGTCTAATTATCAGAACTATCCCCTTCTATTTAATCTCAAGAGATGGGGATTCAATTCGTTTTGGTGCAACTACATTATGTCATTGGAACCCCATCACCAGCGCCGTCGTTGCCCACGACTACCATCACTAACATTAACATGAGCTGCCCTGCCCATGCTGATGATACTGGGGCTACGCCCATTTTAAATCTTTATAAACAGTTTTCCTTTAGAGGCTAACCCCGCTTTTCCTGATTTACGACCGCTTGTATTGCAATCGAAGCGTCGTGGTTTTTGTTTGATATTTTTTTAAATTATATTTTTTATTACCGAAAGAACCAAAGAATAGTCTACATTATAGACTGCCAGTATGCTCACTCGACTTAATAACCAGGCTACAGTCTACATTATAGACTGCTAGTATGCTCACTCGGCTTAATAACCAGGCTACAGTCTACATTATAGACTGCCAGTACGCTCACTCAGATTAAGAACCAGGCTACAGTCTACATTATAGACTGCTAGTACGCTCACTCAGATTAAGAACCAGGCTACAGTCTACATTATAGACTGCCAGTACACTCACTCAGATTAAGAACCAGGCTACAGTCTACATTAGTGATTTTTGTTTTTTATAAAAAAAATTCGCTTGATTTGTATCATTAGTTTTCTATCTACGTGAATTTCCCGAAAGAACCAAAGAATATGAATTCCTGCAGTCACGAAAGTGTTAAGTCAAAATTTTAAATACAATTACTTTACTATGCAAGTTAAGAATTTGTGTTTTAATCTTTACGTGTTTTATTTTATTTTATTTAGGGCCCCTTTATAACATATGCTCCAGGCCCCGTGCTAGCTTAATCCGGCACTGGTTAAAATGAATGATCTGCTTTCTTCCACTTTGGCGAAAACTCCTTTGTAAGTCAGCACTGACCTTCCGGGTATTGATGAAAGTGGAGGGAATGCAGAAATCTGCGGTCAGAAGTTCTCAGCTTTGATGTTCTGCAGCAACTGCCGTTTGAAAGTGACTGCTGTTGCAAAAGTGGAAACGTTTACAAATGTACAACGATCAACTGGAAGACATAATATATACACATTTCTGTAATTTCACCGCTGGATGAATCATCATGAATGCCTCCCCATGCCATGTTGGTAACAGGGGTTGTTCACACTTCACTATCGTCAGTGCTGATTGATTAAGAGCTAGGTATGCAGGATAAAAGTTTTAAAAGATATCTGTGCAGCCTTTCAGTGTCTTGCTCACACCATAGAGAGCTTCTCTAGAGGGTATTGTGGTGGCCTCCTCTTCTACGCTGACCAGACGCTTTGGAACTGGAGGACTACCCATACTTTACCACCATCACCAGGGACCATTCATATTAGCTGGGCGAACAGAGGCAGGGCATTTAAGGAAACTCGCATTTCGTTTCAACGACCGCACCGGCACAGTCACCTCTGGATTGCAAATTCAGTGTGCTAACCACTGCAATAGGTGAATAATTATGCATTGGTTAATTATTTACGAATGTTATGTTTGCAGCACGTGCATCTCCAAACACTGCCGATTATTCCATGCACCACAATGGCAAAAATTATTTATTCATCAATCAAATCATGACCCAAAATTGTGACAGAAGAGCAAGGGAGTTGACGGGAATGGTGTGGGGGAGCTGTGGTTTTATGGGAACTAAGGTTTGGAAGTTAAGTCCCAAACGTACAATGACTACGTCATTAAGTTGATCCTTGCGGGATCTATGACCGGATAAGGAGCCTGCAAGAGGATATCAAAGTTAAATTTCGATTTAAAGCTTTCGTGACTGCAGGGATTCATCTTCTTCGTTCTTTCGGTAAAGTCACGTAGAAGGGAAATAATAAAATAATAAAAATAAAACATAATGAAATAATTCTCACGACGTTTCGGCCACAACGCAAGCAGCCGTCCTCAGGTGTCTCCCCGACAGACCTGTTCTTCACCCGAGGACGGCTGCTTGCGTTGTGGCCGCAACGTCGTGAGAATTATTTCATTATGTTTTATTTTATTATTTTATTATTTCCCTTCTACGTGACTTTACCGAAAGAACCAGGAATATGATATCAAAGTGCTCAGCAGCTGCCTGTGCTGGATTTGGACGGAGATTTATGATCGCTAAAATCAGGAGCTCCTCGGGCCTCAACGATTTCGAGCAAACCGCACCACAGCCGCCGTGTTGGAGCCATTACGAGTCAGGATTGGCAAGAGCCCTGGTACAGAAGCCGTACAACCACATTCGCCACCAGATGGCCTATGTGCTCCACACTCAACAGGACCAAGGAGCAATTGTTTTACGCCACAGTTCCATTCCGATTAACCAGTGGCGCTTATAACTTTCACTGCAGCCTTGCGCTCATTTGGTTCTCAATAGTTAAGAAACAATGAAAAATGTTGATAAATACATAGGGTTTGATGAAACAAGGTGATTGTACTTCCGCTTAATTTGTGTTTCGATTATTTCTTTTCTAAAACAAAT